TTAACCTTCCGGAGCACCTGAGATCACCCCCAGTTTTTGGTTGGGTTCGTGTTGCTCAGTCTTTGGTTTTCTATGTTGTTTTGCGTACTGTTGTTTGTCTGTTTGTCTTTTTTTAGCCATGGCGTTGTCAGTTTATTTTTCGACTTATGAGATTGAATGTCCATTTGGTATCTTTTGCCTCTCTTTTGCATAGTTTTCAATTTTAAGTTCCAATATCGTTTTTTAAATTTTGGTTTCATATCAATGATTACGAATAACGTTTTCGCCGTTTTGCATCTTAATTCCTGGTTTTGATGAAAACAACAACTCTGTAAACATTAGACCGATATTTCTATTTGTTTTAGCTTAGAACTGTTTCTATTTTTATTATATATGGGAAAAGCATTGTCTTTTATTGTTTCTTTTGTTGACCAGTATTGAAAATATCCATTGGAATATACATGTAGTGGCTTTTTATTTACAATTTTGAATATTAGAAATTAGTTATCATTGTCTTGTATGGAATGTGATGATTGATCGTGGTTTTACAGATCATTATATCTCCTGGATAAATCTTACATATTCATTGCCAGTTTTAATCAATTAAGTCTGATGAACAGTTTTCGAAAGGCAAATTTTGTGCCACTACACTCAACTATTACATTTTAAGTTCAATACAATGTGTTTAATCCCTGAAATGGTGTGTGAGAAGTCATGTACAGCATTGAATGTCATGAGTAGGAATATGGTCAGTTCATTCACTTTCTGGTCAAGGTATTCGTTTTCAAATTAAAAATAATAAAGTAAAAAAGTATAAAAAAAATGCCGAACTCCAAGGCTAATTTAAACAGGGAAAGTCCATGAAAATAGACAAAATCAAACGCCAACAATCAACGGAAAATGTGAACAATTCATTTGGTCTCATTGGCAATCATACCACATCTTCTTATTTCTATATTAAATAACAGAAGTGTTGTTTCCTTTTTCAGACGGCATTTTGTTTAGAGAAGAGGAAACTTCAAGTAATCCAATTACTATAGTGATTTCAGGAATTGATCATGGTACTCTAGTTTCAATTGCAGGACTTGGTCCATTATTTTCTACATTTCAACTTTCAAAACAAGTTGTGATGATACAAGGTAAACAGTGTGCCAAAGCCATCGTTACTCCAAACGAACTGTCGCTGCTGGGTTATGATTCAACTAAACAGATCAAGATAACTGTGCCGAATGGAACACCCTACGACCAGATTGATATGGGACAAACATTGTTATAATGTAATTGGTGATAAATGAAAGAAAAAGAAAACATCAGATAAAGACTAAGTGAAATGATTGAAATGACAGCCTAATTCAACAATATAATTAATAAAAAGTTCAGCATATAGAAATTATAGCTTATTGTCTTATTCTTGTTAACATGTTCAAATTTGGATAAAAAGCGATAAATGTCTATCATTCAGTTCGACCATCATATTTATTCATATTTTACTTCCATAGTGACATGCTGTTATTGGAATGTTAGGTACATAGTTAACAGCATTTTAGTCCAAATTATCAGGCACCGAGGGGGCAATCAAAACTATAAGTGGAAAAAAAACCCACACAACTCCGTTGTCAAAAGACAAGAATAAACTAAACCTTAGAACAGGAGACTTACTGTTTAACCAATTGAACCCCACGAAAACCAGATTGAACTCGGAGGCTCAAGAAGGGCCAGCAATGAGTATTTCTGTTCCACTACTCTAAGTAAGCGGGTATACTAATTTTCATCTGTCCGTCCGTCCGTCACACATCTCAGACCCTTTAGAATGGTAAGCAGTAACTATTTCTGTTCCACTACTCTAAGTAAGCGGGCATACTAATTTTCATCTGTCCGTCCGTCCGTAACATAACTCAGACGCTTTAGAAGGGTAAGCAGTAACTTTTTCTGTTCCATGGCTCCAAGGAAGAAGGCATACTAATTTTCATCCGTCTGTTCGTCCGTATAAAATTTCTATCGCATTTTGTTTGGCAAAAACAAATAGGGACAGAAAGTTTGCCTTGCAACAGACCACATACGGACCCCTGAACGAGTTGTTGCAAGGGATCTTAACGTACAGAAAGCGTGGCAATTTTTTTACACGAGGCATTAGAGTTAACGTCCCCATTCTGACCGGACGTGTCTACTTATAAAAATAAGAAGATGTGGTACGATTGCCAATGAGACAACTCTCAACAAGAGACCAAATGACACAGAGTAGGTCACAGTACGGCCTTCAACAATGAGCATAGCCCATACAGCATAGTCAACTATAAAAGGCCCCGAACTGACGAATGTAAAACAATTCAAACCAGAAAACTAACGGCCTAATTTATGTTCAAAATAAGGAACGAAAAAAAACATGATACACAGAAACAAACGACAACCACTGAATTGCAGGCTCCTGACTTTGGACAGGCACATACAGAATATGTCGGGGTTAAACATGTTAGCCTAACCTGGGACAGTGGTGTAACAATACAAAATAAGAACAATCTATAAAAAACAGTTGAAAAAGGCTTCACTCATTTGATAGATACAAATAGAAATACATATAACAAAAACACAGAGTGGCAGGGTACTTATACATCTCCACACCAAAAAAACCAAAAGTACAGATCTGAGAGTACTAGCAGTTACTGACAGCTAGTCCATGAGAGTTGTCTCATTGGCAATTATACCACATCTTCTTATTCTTATACCAACTGCTTAGGCAGTGGCAATAGTAAAGGTGCTTAAATTTCTACGTGGCTTTCAAATGATAGGGTGTGAAGTTAACTCCAGAAAAACACTTCGGGCGAATACATTTTTAAATGGTCATTTGCATATACTAGTATATCTTTGAACATGTTTACAGTAAAAAAAAATAAAAAAAAAATACAATCTTACAAAGAACATTTACATTGACAACCATGCATATGAACCGTATAATGCAATACTAATACCTTTCTTATAAATAAGATTATTTCTAGCAAAGTAGTAAGACAAATTGTGTTTTAAATTTTGCATGGCATTACTATTGTAATGACCCACCACTCATGCGTGCGAACAAATAAATGGATATATCATGGACAAAAAAAAAAACAAAAAAAGTAAGTTTGTGTTAAATAAAGTCTTTGATAGGAATTCCTTACAGCAGATCTTTATAATTCTGATTAAAACCTGACGGATATGATCATGTACCGCCGTTGTAATAAAGAACAGGGAGGGCGTATGTTGAAAGAAATATCATTAACTTGTCAATTTCTGTACATTTAATGTCCATGAAAATTAAAATCCATTCGAAATGCTAAGATTTGTCCTTGCGCTTTGATTATGCGTTTGTATTCTTCATACACTATGCCTTATCTTCATAACTTAAAGTGTACATCCTCATTTTTATTTTTATTTTACTTTTTTTTATAAAGTGATGAACATAAAATCATATATTTGAAATGAAGCTAGTGTTGATACAGGATGGAGTGTGTTCAAAGAGAACAGCACAAATTATTCAGATAAATTAACTAGCTATCTATATATCAATAACAATGTTAACAAGTCATGCACAATGCGATGTTCAAAATGTGCATACATGTATGATTATTTATTGTGTCAATAACAGTTGATTATGCAGTTGTAAGTGAGAGTCTCTTGTCCTCAGTTGAATATTTTTCGATTATAGCTCTTCATCTTTTTAATAAACTTTGGATTTTCAAATATTTTGGCCTCGAGCATCACTGAAGAGACAGTTATTGTCGAAATGCGCATCTGGTGCAGAAAAATTGGTACCGTTATTGTTATTTCAGCAGTGGAGATTTTACTTATATTTCTAACTATGTACAGATTTAGTTTTAGCTGAAATGTTACTTAGATAATATGAATTTAAAGCACACATTACATGTACCAGAAGATTTTACTGATATTTCATCATACAAGTTAGTGGAACAAGAAGTCTTATGGTTCACTTTCATAGAGTCTAGAAACTAACTCATTAACGAACAATATTATTGATTTTGAATTTCAACCATTTTCTCACTGAAGGAATAGATGAAGCTTGTACTGATTAAACAGATATTTTAATATAAAAATTACAGAAAAAATTGTAAATCAAAGGAAGTTATGAAAAAAAAATTTAAAAATAAAACATATATGATATCAGAGGAAAAATTAGTCAGATAATTCAGTGAAAGAGTCTAAAAGTATTATTAATAGGGAAGGAAAAGATTTAAGACGAAACTCATTTAATCTAAACCTCAAACAAAAATATGTTCAAATACTCAAGTCTTTTAAAAAATTGATAAAAACGAAAAAATATGAATACAAAAAAAAAATCACTTTGAAAAATTATCCAATATTTTAGAAAATAATCCTCAAGAATTATGGAAAATTCTTAACTCCTTCAATACAAAAAAAAATATATAAAGATGAGGAGTGTGGTAAACCTTTATTAAATTACCATGATACCATGATCCATTTTCAGAACCAGGTCATGTGCATTGACGGGGATATATATATATTGATTATCAAAACTTAAGAACTTAGGTAAAGACTCCGGGCCTGATATTATAGTATATGAAGTAATTAAATACAGTGGCCCAGTTACATTAAAATCTTATGTTAAATTTTTAATCAATTTTAAAAAAAACTGCTTATCATCAAAAACACTGGAATCTTTTTTATATTAATATTCAAATCTGGAGACAAATGTCATCCTGGCACCTACAGAGGTATTTCTTCATTTTATATGCAATTGGTATAATATATATGTTTTTGTCACAAACATGTTAGATTTGTTTATATGACAATACACATTATTATCAATAACTATTCTTGATATTAAATTACAAAAACATTGATATTTAAAATTGTGAGAAAAAAAGTTACAAGCCCGTCCCACCACTTTCAAATTAAAATCTCAATTCGTTACGAGTCTATCAAAATAAACAATTTATCTTGCCATTTAAACGCGAACAACAAAGCGATAATTTCCGGGTCAAGGGTACTAAACAGATAATCTGGATACTTGCCAATTAACTTCCTCAATAGTTTTTGGTTTTCCAAATTTTGCTTTCGTTTTTAAATGCTATATTAATGCTGGATTAAGTTTATTCAAACTTCTAAAAGAAAGGTAAATAAAAAATGAAGTAAATATATTCAAGATATTGTATATATTTGGAAGAAATTATTCAGCGTATTTTACATAAAATCATACTATGTCATAATTTTGAACCTGTCAACAAAGTATTGTAATTTTTAAAAACTTCATACTGACATTAAATGAAATATACATGCATGGTGTTAGAACCAAAACACAACCCATCTGTATATTTTCCTTATAGTTTTTTTTTCTTTCACTTTCGCTTTTGATTTGTTTGCTATTTTTGTCTCTAGACCTCAATTAAACTTTTTTTTTCTGTCGGTTTTTTCTAAATATACAATATTAGGTCAACGTCAGAAAATATAAACTTTTTTGTATGAGTCTGAGAAGTTTTGTGCCGAATACAAAAAAAATTATATTTTTCTGACATTGACCTAATATTGTTTTTATACTGCAACTTAAATTAATACATTGATAGCTATTCAAATTGTAACACAAATATCAAACTTATTTTCATCCCTTAATGAACCCCTGATTGTGTAAAAAGTTATCCGTGATGAAATTGACATTGTACAAAATATAGCTGTGTTACTTATATTATATTTAGGAAATAAACACAACTAGTTGCACTATAAATTGTTTTACGTTGTATCTTGTACGATTGTGATTTTAATTATTTCTATAGAACAAGGCTTGGCATCATCAAAGTAGAAGAAGATACATATTAGGTGGAAAGCATTAGGTTTCTTAATCTAAAAACTACCTGGAAAATTGAGACCCTTGATCATGTTAATTGTTAATGACAATATAATAACTGAAAATCAACGGTTTCAAATTTGACAATGAAGACTTAAACGCTATCGTGTATTATGTAAATTTGAAGGGGAAAAGGTCAATACTAAGTAAATACTAAAATATGGGACAGCCATGCATGTATACATACATACGTAACATACAATATAGTACGTGTTTACAGCAAATAAAGTTAACAGTTATTGTCAATTACAGCTCATGATTAGGGTAATTTTAACGTTTACGAATAATACGAGAGAGAGAGAGAGAGAGAGAGAGAGAGAGTACAACAATCGGAATTAGAAAGTACGACAGCATGTTGTCTATATTAATAGTTTACTTAGGTAAATTCATTTACTTTATAACGAGTGGTAGGGATGAGCCGCTGGAAGAAACAGTTTCAAGCTTCATGATATAACAAGTACGAACAAATTAAGTAAAATGTATGACAAGGTTGCTGATTGAAGCATTTCTCAATGACATAGCGTAATTATGATAACTATAGGTATATATACAACAAATATATGATGCAGTAATCATTTTTGCATTCCAAATATATAACAAGGGTGGGGTACTGGATATCTCAGCTGCTCATCCATACCATAAAATGATTGAAGTGCCACCCCTCCCCCAGTGTTCGAGTCAATAAAAAGCTAGTTTTACCCTTTTTAACATGGACCTTACCTCTATTTGTGAATCTGCGATACTTGATCTGAGAATTTGCGACAATTAAACAACATCTCCTTATTTTTATAATAAAGTACTCTGTTAAACTTATTCACAATTTATCATGTGTGTAGTGCTGGCAGTGGCATTAAACACGAACTATCAATCAATCATTACAAAATATATACAGTGTAGTTTAGCATAATTATTACTGTTACTCAATATTAAAAGTATTAGTCTTCTGAATTCAAGGCTAATGTCTGTTGTATGACGGAAACTTAATTGATATAATTTGACTGGGAGATGTCGGGTTGAGTATTAATTTCAGTTGTTTTGTTTCATCATTATTATCAAAATCTAAGAAGTCCTTGTGTTTAGTTTTTATGTCTTTAAAAAAGTTCTCTAGATTTATTTGTTTAGGTAGAAATCTTTACGCAACATTATGTGTAATTTTAAAAGGTAACTAAAAAGGTAATAAACTGAATCTTTATTAGATTATATTCCGTAAAAATTGCTTTCCACCAACCATGACGTTTCCATACGTGATCATTTAAGTACATCATTTTATATTAGCATTTTAAACAACAAGAACGAAATCGATATTCTAAATTAACATGTATCGTGTAAATAAAACGTCGAAAGACAAAATTAAACTAAGAAAAATACAACAATGTTTTTTTTTTAACTAAGAATTGGTGTGAAAATATATACTACCTGTATTTATAGTAGGATAACCAGTCTTATATTGGTGCTGAGTACACTAAGTATTATATTAGTTACATGGTGTGTTAGTGACCTAATACGATGTATATATATTGGTGCAATAAATTCCATATGGGGTGAGAGCGAAGCTCGAATCCCCATATGGAATTTATTGACCCCATATATATCGTATTAGGTCACTAGCACACCGTGTAACGAATTTATCTTACCGACTATCTTCACATGTGGTATTTAGACTAGCGGCCTATCAAAGTGATTAAGTCTTCAATACTTAGTATTAAGAACCCACTTCCATTTGTCTATACAAAAAACAAATGCCAACAATAACAACTTGTTAGCTTTAAATTTGTTTTATGAATTTGTTTCAATCGTTCATTATCAATTTCTTCGTCTGTTGAAACCTTTCAGATTTCTTTTTTGTTTTGAAAGGGAAGTAACTCCTTAATTACTAACCCCATATTTTTTATGACACCCTATATCAAATATATGTAGTCACTACGTGTAGTCCTTTAACCAATCATATCCCCAGAAATCTATAGGAGGTAAGATAAGATCCTTTATCGGCCCTAGGTCATGATATCACCCGAAATACGACAGAAACTACTTATTCTACAACCTTTGTTTCTATAAATAATACTTGAAGAAATTTAGATATAAGGTGTCATCTCGATCAGTATGTTTCTAATACAAGAAGTTAGATCAAATGTTACCAACGCAGGCGCGGATCCAGCCATTTTTAAAAGGTGGAGGGGTAGTTCTAATACATGCAAGTCATATAAAAAGGGGGGTTCCAACCATATGTCTCCATACAAAAGCATTAACTGTCCAACAAAAAGCCCCCCCCCCCCCCCCCCCCCCTTTGGAGCCGCCACTGTCAATGTACAGATATTACAATGTAGATAATAAAATGGAGAGGGACATTTGTAAAATGGCAAGTTGGATAAGTCCAGGCTAAAGTCTATTTGGCAGTTACATATACGACCATGCAATTAGAGAGCCATGTTTTATGTGTTGTTTGGCATAGAAGTGACATACGCTTTCTTTACCTGAAGAACTATTGTAAAGTGGAAAATTTAGGAGTGAGTAATGTTCTATTCGTTAAGTTTTTTTAAAAATCGGAGCACTTAAGATCACCCCCAGTTTTTGGTGGGGTTCGTGTTGCTTAGTCTTTAGTTTTCTATGTTGTGTCTTGTGTACTATTATTTGTCTGTTTGTCTTTTTATTTTTTAGCCATGGCGTTGTCAGTTTATTTTCGATCTATGAGTTTGACTGTCCGTCTGGTATCTTTCGCCACTCTGTTTATAACTTGTCTACAACAGCAATGTTTAGCACTGATTCATTTTTCAATTTAATGCTTGTATATAAAATTGTTGAGAAACCATTAAGTAAGTAATGCAGATACATGCATATTAAAATTCCCCTAGATTTCGCAAATTTTCGAATTTTGAAATTCAGATAAAAGTAACCATACCAATTAAAGTTCTAGATAATCAAGAACAAAAGAGCCCTCGTTATATAACGTATCTCCTATGAAAATGTTTTCACAAAACACCATTAATAAAGGGACATGCGAAAATATTGAGCTGCCTTCAAAGAAGAAAGTCATTACATGCTTAAGTCTTTTGAGGTTTGACTAGTGCAGGAATTAGGGAAAATAGCATATGACTTCAATTAAACTTGTCGAACTGATTATCCTCATAAATAATAGGATCGAGAATGGAAACGGGGAATATGTCAAAGAGACAACAACCCTACCAAAGAGCAGAAACCAGCCCAAGACCACAAATGAGCCTTAAACACAGCGAGAAATTATTATCATTAGGTTTTAAAATAGATTGTTTCTAATCGAAAAATCTTAATACTGCTATATTGATAATCAACAGGTTTTTTCTATGTGAACTATGTCGGTCGGCATTAGAGTTGTTCGTGGTCCAGACTGGAATTATGGAGACAAAGATGGCGGAGAAGGTCACGTGGGCTCAATCATCGCTGTCAGTCAAGATAATTCCTGTGATGTAGTATGGGACAATGGCCGTGAAATGAAGTGTAACATCGGAAAAGGAGGAAAACGTGATCTGAGAGTCGTGGACAATGCACCAGCAGGTAGATGTAATAAACAAATGAGACAGCATCCCAATGACAAAAACAAACAACTTGGTCTATTCTTGGCATTTATATCCTTATTCTTTACGCTTTCTGTCTTGTATGCCTTTAAACTAGTTTAACCCCGCCACATTCTGTATGTGCCTGTAATTCAGTGGTTGTCGTTTGTTGCTGTATATCATATTTGTTTTTCGTTCATTATTTTGTACATAAATCAGGCCGTTAGTTTTCTCGTTTGAATAGTTTTACATTTGACATTTCAGGGCCTTTTATAGCTGACTATTCGGTATGGGTTTTACTCATTGTTGAAGGCCGTACGATGACCCATAGTTGTTAATTTCTGTGTCATTTGGTCTCTTGTGGAGAGTTGTCTCATTAGCAATCATATCACATCTTTTTATTTTTATATTATAAGAGAATAAATATGTACATGAGCAAATATTGCATTTACGATCTTAGCGCTTCATACAAAATATTTCAATACTGGAAACCCATAATAGATAAAACCTCACAAAGGATATTACAATATAGATCGAGTGTAGTCTATGATTAGAATAAGACATAATTATACATACGAAGAAACGCAGCGATATAACTAGTACGTTAACAAGTATATCTTTCTACAAAAATTCAAGACTTTAGATTGACCCGGACGGAAATTGAACATATGACCTTCCTCACTTCGTTGATTGATTGTTGTTTTCTTAACACCCAGTGACAAATATTTCAGATAAATGCAGGACGAGAGCACAAATACAATTAATGTTATAAAAATGTTCTGCAAAATCTGTCGACCTGAATGAAGGGTGATATTTTGTTACTGGAAAATGGTTAGGGGCGCAATGTATCTAATAAAAGGTCACATACGAACCCATCGAAGAGTTATTGCAAGGGTTTGTTAACGTGCAGACAACGTTGGACTCTTTCTTTACAAAGATTTAACGTCTTCATTCCGACCTTACGTTTCTATACATCCCGCACAGCCACGCTCATCTTGACCAAAGGTCCTACTGCCATCAAAAGGATGACACTATTTCTATACCACAGTCAACCCTTGGTTTCCTGCCTCGGCATGCTACAACGGGATCATATAGGCCATTCCCCGAGAGAAAAATATAACTAGATGTAGTTATTATTTTCGTATTGAGTATACGTATAATGTATATAAAAACAGACAGAGAAAGAAGAACAAGGATCTGACTTAAATAATCCAGCTTTAAAAGATAAAAAAACAAAAAACAAAAAAACAAACAAAAAAAGTTTTTAATGGATAGCGTGAAGGCATCCGAAAAGGCGACTTATTTATAATTAACGAAAGTATCGGACTTATTTGAAATACGTACAATGCATCACTAATGGGTTAGAGGCCTCCGACTTATTTGAAATACGTACAATGCATTACTAATGGGCTAGAGACCTCCGACTTATTTGATATACGTACAATGCATCACTAATGGGTTAGAGGCCTCCGACTTATTTGAAATACGTACAATGCATCAGTAATGGGTTAGAGGCCTCCGACTTATTTGAAATACGTACAATGCATCACTAATGGGTTAGAGGCCTCCGACCTATTTGTTTAGGTTAAGGGCGTATCCACTAGACGTATGCTGTAGATTTATTCAGAAATCCTATGAGCTGTTATGTTTTTCTTCTGGAGATTATAAGAGCACCGAATGTGGCGCATAATTGAAACGTTCAGAAACTGTGAAATGTTCCTGGCATGATTAAACTCTTTGAAGCCTTTCTGAAAAAAACGTGCATATGCCCGCCATTACACTGTCAAATCAAATTTATAACTTTCTTCATCACAAAATGCATTTGTGTTATAGATCGCAAAATAAAAATTTTGATATTACTGCTATGCTGGTCATTTGTTGTTTTTATCTGCTCTTCGACGCTTGTTTAAGGTTTTCGATTTTTAATTATTTACTGAAGAGACATTACTTGTCATAATGCAGTTAGATATGTACAGGTATAATTTCATTATAAGATCAATATACTTAACGTTTCAGGTGTAAAGCACTTAGGTGTACAATGTGACGAATGTAAACAGAGAACTGTGATAGGAACACGTTGGAAGTGTTCCGAATGTCACGACTATGATTTGTGTACTATTTGTTACTATGGTGACAAACACAATCTGAGCCATCAATTTCTTAGAATTAACAAGCAGTCGAGTAAACCGTAAGCATTAAAAATAATAATAATATTCTGCTGTATAGCAAGTACAAAGTTATTATAGATTTCTTTCATTATTCCAAAGATATGATTAATGACATGATATAGAAGTCACTGTCTAGACAAGGGTTGGTAAACAAGAGAATTTCTTGTACGAAAGTAGAATAAATGATGTGACAACATTTTGCTTTCATGAATATAAAAACTCAAAAAGTATTTTTTTCAAAGAGCCTTTCAAAATTTCTATTAATATCCACAAAACATGATTTCAGACATCTGTATTAATACAGCTGATTTCTGTCTGACATATTTGATTTATGCTTTTATGAAGTCCGTACTTGGACCTATAAATGTTATATACATTGTGACTTGGACGGAGAGTTGTCTCATTGGCACTCATACCACATCTTCTTGTTTCTATATATAAGCAAGAAAATAATATGCAATGATTTATCAAAATGAAAATAAAATTATAAACAAAAACAAACTTCAGTTTTTCTGTTTTCAATTGAAAATTCTTTCAGATGGTTATAAATGTTCACGTTTACAGACTTTACGTCAATATTGTATGGCTTCATAGAGGTATCAACACTTTAGTAAAACACTTTTGAATATAACTTACGCTTTCTTTCAACACATTTTACTTATTTATTTTGACATTTAGAATAAAGCTTCCTAAGAGAGCAACATCACAGAGGATGAGAGCCTTGGGGATATTTCCAGGAGCTGTAGTTTTGCGGGGTAAAGATTGGTCCTATGGTTCACAAGATGGTTAGTATTGTCAACCATTTACTGGTGTACATGTATATGTGTAACATTGGAGTTCAGGGTGACGTACATTTTCACTGAACTAGTACACATTTTTGTTAAGGGGCCAGCTAAAGCCCGCCACCATTGGTGGCCTTCGGCTGTTATTTTGCTCTTTGGTCGGGTTGTTGTCTCTTTGACATATTCTTCATTTCCATTCTCAATTTTACATCAATTGTAATAAATATATATTGCAAATATGTCTTCTCAAGAATTATATTCAAAACTTTACACGTTTCGCTAACAAGACACCCAGACTATAGCAGACGAAAGAATAACCTCTCCGATCTATATATATACGTTGTTTTCAATTTAGACTTGTTTATATTTTTTCGTTTGGGCTTGTATTATATTTGCCTTCGGGTTTATATAATCCGTTCATCCTATTTTGACTCTTTCTTTCTTGGTAGAGGGGTCTAAATACAGCACACACAACATTTTCCAATAGACCAAAAAAGTGAAAAAGTATATTTTAACAAAACGCATTTGACTAGCAGGTCGAACAACGGATGTTCTTAAACCCTGCTGACTGCCACTGGCGATTGCCAAATACACGGATCACCAGATGTAACAAAATGGATCTTAACTATTAATTTAATACCAAACAGAAAACAATAAACTTGCGGAAAAGATGGTATACCGCAAACAAAAGGTGCAAAAATTAATACAGCATATCCGGATTTTGACAATTAATGTCTCTTCAGTGACGTTAGGAATCGAAACGGTATTTGGAAGGCTTTACAATTTACCTCAATTTAGGATAGACTCTTGAATTTTTAAAAGTTGAAACAGGATGAACGGATCATTTAAACCCGAAGGCAAATATAATATGAGCCCAAACGAAAAAATATAAACAAGAGTAAATTGAAAACAACGGAAAAGATGGTATAATACCGCAAACAAAAGGGGCAAATATATTTATATATATATATATGTATATTTGTACTGAAAGGTTGCATGGCTAATTATATGAAGAAATACTGTTTTCACTTAAATCTGGGAAATTGTATACAAATTTCGTAAGGTGTTGTTATTTGGTTTGTGTGGACATTATTTGCATTTATTCTAATTAACGATATTTGATTAATTCACCTAAATAAGCTTTAAAGAGCTTGCTTTTGCTGATACAACGCAAGGTTGTTCTGTTGCTATTTCTGAAAAAATTAAACTCTAGCAAAATATCCATGACTTAAAGGAAGTATGGGACATAAATGTTCATCACATAAATGTTCACCTCATAAATGTTCCCCGCATACATGTTCATCACATAAATGTTCCCCACCTAAATGTTCACCACATGAGGCAACAGCAAAATGCCATAAAAACCAAAAGTCTGAAGGTTAGTATAGGGTCAATATGTCATATTCTAAATAGCCCCTGTGTATAAACGTTATATACAAATACTACATTCCCCCACAGTTCCCCACTTGACATATGAATAAACCCCAAAACACTAAGACATCACCAAATCAGATAATGATGACGTACCTGGCATTGGACAAAAATGTTGGACAGGTACATAGTTATAAACAAAATAAAATCACAAAAACAACTGACAATACAACAGACCACCCAAACACCAACTAACATACCGCTCAAACCGCTAGGGCCGTCTTAAACTTGTAGTGAGTTGGAACTTTTTGCTCCCTGTTGAAGGCCACACTGTGACTTTGAAATGAAGAACATTTTTTTTTGTGTTTTGCAGTGCATGTACTGATTTTGTGTCATGGATGGATGGATACCCTATATCATTTCTTTTCTATTATAACATGTACATTTTTACCCTAGGCGGGCAAGGGTCGGAAGGCAAAGTAACAGAATTAAGAAACTATGGTGGCGACACTGGTGCACGGAATGCCGTCAAGGTCAAATGGAAAAACGGAGAAATTAATGTTTATAAATTAGGAGCTGGCGGAAAAGTAGATCTTAAGTTTATGGAACCAGGAGTGGGAACAGATTATTACAGGGATCATTTGGATATACCTGGTAAGTACTTCATGAAAATAATGATTTTTTTTTATATTCCACATCAAGTTGTTTTTATCTTATGATTTTGAAGACTAATTTAACCATTGATCTTGATTCATGATTAAGTATTTTTATCTTCTGATAATATCTGAAGTTTTGAAAACAGACAATTGAGATTCAAATTTAAAAGTATGTATTAAATGTTATTATTAAAAATCTCATATAATATATTATATATCAGTCTCACAAAAATATAGATTCAGTGGACGTACCTACTAAACAAACAGGTAAATATAAAATTTTCTCAATAAGTTTTTTACAAATTTTAGTGGTTTGTGTATTTCTTTATTGTTTGTTGGTTAAATGCAATTTTTGTGCTCTTTACTTGTCAGCAATGCCTCCTCAATACTAATATACGACTGTTTCCCATAATTGATATTAGTAGCATGTTACGTATAAAGGTAACTTCTGCTATGTTTGCGATCACTGTGCTTATTTTCTGTGCACACTGAGTTAACACTTTTCCTCATATTTCAATTGATGCATACTTGTATTCACGACTTCGGATCACTTCCCTGTATACACTTTATCATATAGTTCTGTGGCATGACTTTGGATCACGTCCCTGTATACACTTTATCCTATAGTTCTGTGACATGACTTTGGATCACTTCCTTGTATACACTTTATACTATAGTTCTGTGACATGACTTTGGATCACTTCCCTGTATACACTTTATACTATAGTTCTGTGACATGACTTTGAATCACGTCCCTGTATACACTTTATACTATAGTTCTGTGACATGACTTTGGATCACTTCCTTGTATACACTTTATACTATAGTTCTGTGACATGACTTTGGATCACTTTCCTGTATACACTTTATACTATAGTTCTGTGACATGACTTTGGATCACTTCATGGTATACACTTTATCATATAGTTCTGTGACATGACTTTGGATCACGTCTCTGTATACACTTTATACTATAGTTCTGTGACATGACTTTGGATCACTTCCTTGTATACACTTTATACTATAGTTCTGTGACATGACTTTGGATCACTTCCTTGTATACACTTTATACTATAGTTCTGTGGCATGACTTAAGCTTTATTCTATAGTTCTGTGACATGACTTTGGATCACGTCCCTGTATACACTTTATATAGTTCTGTGACATGACTTTGGATCACTTCCCTGTATACACTTTATACTATAGTTCTGTGACAGGACTTAGGCTTTATTCTATAGTTCTGTGACAGGACTTAGGCTTTATTCTATAGTTCTGTGACAGGATTTAGGCTTTATTTTATAGTTCTGTGACATGACTTTGGATCACGTCCCTGTATACACTTTATACTATAGTTCTCTGACATGACTTAGGCTTTATTCTATAGTTCTGTGACATGACTTTGGATCACTTCCCTGTATACACTTTATACTATAGTTCTGTGACATGACTTTGGATCACGTCCCTGTATACACTTTATACTATAGTTCTGTGACATGACTTAGGCTTTATTCTATAGTTCTGTGACATGACTTTGGATCACTTCCCTGTATACACTTTATACTATAGTTCTGTGACATGACTTTGGATCACGTCCCTGTATACACTTTATACTATAGTTCTGTGACATGACTTAGGCTTTATACTATAGTTCTGTGACATGACTTAGGCTTTATTCTATAATTCTGTGACATGACTTTGGATCACGTCCCTGTATACACTTTATACTATAGTTCTGTGACATGACTTTGGATCACTTCCCTGTATACACTTTACACTTTAGTTCTGTGACATGACTTTGGATCACTTCCCTGTATACACTTTATATAGTTCTGTGACATGACTTTGGATCACTTCCCTGTATACACTTTATATAGTTCTGTGACAGGACTTAGACTTTATTCTATAGTTCTGTGACAGGACTTAGGCTTTATTTTATAGTTCTGTGACAGGACTTAGGCTTTATATTATAGTTCTGTGACAGGACTTAGGCTTTATTCTATAGTTCTGTGACAGGACTTAGGCTTTATTCTATAGTTCTGTGACATGACTTTGGATCACGTCCCTGTATACACTTTATACTATAGTTCTGTGACATGACTTAGGCTTTATTCTATAGTTCTGTGACAGGACTTAGGCTTTATTCTATAGTTCTGTGACAGGACTTAGGCTTTATTCTATAGTTCTGTGACAGGACTTAGGCTTTATTCTATAGTTCTGTGACAGGACTTAGGCTTTATTCTATAGTTCTGTGACATGACTTTGGATCACGTCCCTGTATACACTTTATATAGTTCTGTGACATGACTTTGGATCACTTCCCTGTATACACTTTATACTATAGTTCTGTGACAGGACTTAGGCTTTATTCTATAGTTCTGTGACAGGACTTAGGCTTTATTCTATAGTTCTGTGACAGGATTTAGGCTTTATTTTATAGTTCTGTGACATGACTTTGGATCACGTCCCTGTATACACTTTATACTATAGTTCTGTGACATGACTTAGGCTTTATTCTATAGTTCTGTGACATGACTTTGGATCACTTCCCTGTATACACTTTATACTATAGTTCTGTGACATGACTTTGGATCACGTCCCTGTATACACTTTATACTATAGTTCTGTGACATGACTTTGGATCACTTCCCTGTATACACTTTATACTATAGTTCTGTGACATGACTTTGGATCACTTCCCTGTATACACTTTATACTATAGTTCTGTGACATGACTTTGGATCACTTTCTTGTATACACTTTTTCCTATAGTTCTGTGACATGACTTTGGATCAATTCCCTGTATACACTTTATATAGTTCTGTGACATGACTTAGGATCAATTCCCTGTATACACTTTATATAGTTCTGTGACATGACTTAGGATCACTTCCCTGTATACACTTTTTCCTATAGTTCTGTGACATGACTTTGGATCACTTCCCTGTATACATTTTATATAGTTCTGTGACATGACTTTGGAACACTTCCCTGTATACACTTTATATAGTTCTGTGACATGACTTTGGATCAATTCCCTGTATACACTTTATACTATAGTTCTGTGACATGACTTAGGCTTTATTCTATAGTTCTGTGACATGACTTAGTCTTTATTCTATAGTTCTGTGACATGACTTTGGATCACGTCCCTGTATACACTTTATACTATAGTTCTGTGACATGACTTTGGATCACTTCCCTGTATACACTTTATACTATAGTTCTGTGACATGACTTTGGATCACTTCCCTGTATACACTTAACACTTTAGTTCTGTGACATGACTTTGGATCACTTCCCTGTATACACTTTATACTATAGTTTTGTGACATGACTTAGGCTTTATTCTATAGTTCTGTGGCATGACTTAGGCTTTATTCTATAGTTCTGTGACATGACTTTGGATCACGTCCCTGTATACACTTTATACTATAGTTCTGTGACATGACTTTGGATCACTTCCCTGTATACACTTTACACTTTAGTTCTGTGACATGACTTTGGATCACTTCCCTGTATACACTTTATATAGTTCTGTGACATGACTTTGGATCACTTCCCTGTATACACTTTATACTATAGTTCTGTGACATGACTTAGGCTTTATTCTATAGTTCTGTGGCATGACTTAGGCTTTATTTTATAGTTCTGTGACATGACTTTGGATCACGTCCCTGTATACACTTTATACTATAGTTCTGTGACATGGCTTTTGATCACTTTCTTGTATACACTTTATCCTATAGTTCTGTGACATGACTTTGGATCACTTCCCTGTATACACTTTATATAGTTCTGTGACATGACTTTGGATCACTTCCCTGTATACACTTTATATAGTTCTGTGACATGACTTTGGATCACTTTCTTGTATACACTTTATCCTATAGTTCTGTGACATGACTTTGGATCACTTCCCTGTATACACTTTATACTATAGCTCTGTGACATGACTTTGGATCACTTTCTTGTATACACTTTATCCTATAGTTCTGTGACATGACTTTGGATCACTTCCCTGTATACACTTATTATAGTTCTATGACATGACTTTGGATCAATTCCCTGTATACACTTTATACTATAGTTCTGTGACATGACTTTGGATCACTTCCCTGTATACACTTTATATAGTTCTGCGACATGACTTTGGATCAATTCCCTGTATACACTTTATACTATAGTTCTGTGACATGACTTTGGATCACTTCCCTGTATACACTTTATACTATAGTTCTGTGACATGACTTTGAATCACGTCCCTGTATACACTTTATACTATAGTTCTGTGACATGACTTTGGATCAATTCCCTGTATACACTTTATACTATAGTTCTGTGACATGACTTTGGATCACTTCCCTGTATACACTTTATACTATAGTTCTGTGACATGACTTAGGCTTTATTCTATAGTTCTGTGGCATGACTTAGGCTTTATTTTATAGTTCTGTGACATGACTTTGGATCACGTCCCTGTATACACTTTATACTATAGTTCTGTGACATGACTTAGGCTTTATTCTATAGTTCTGTGACATGACTTTGGATCACGTCCCTGTATACACTTTATACTATAGTTCTGTGACATGACTTTGGATCACTTCCCTGTATACACTTTATATAGTTCTGTGACATGACTTTGGATCACTTCCCTGTATACACTTTATATAGTTCTGTGACATGACTTTGGATCACTTTCTTGTATACACTTTATCCTATAGTTCTGTGACATGACTTTGGATCACTTCCCTGTATACACTTTATACTATAGTTCTGTGACATGACTTTGGATCACGTCCCTGTATACACTTTATACTTTAGTTCTGTGACATGACTTTGGATCACTTTCTTGTATACATTTTATATAGTTCTGTGACATGACTTTGGATCAATTCCCTGTATACACTTTATACTATAGTTCTGTGACATGACTTAGGCTTTATTCTATAGTTCTGTGACATGACTTAGGCTTTATTCTATAGTTCTGTGACATGACTTAGGCTTTATTCTATAGTTCTGTGACATGACTTTGGATCACTTTCCTGTATACACTTTATCCTATAGTTCTGTGACATGACTTTGGATCACTTCCCTGTATACACTTGATCCTATAGTTCTGTGACATGACTTAGGCTTTATACTATAGTTCTGTGACATGACTTAGGCTTTATACTATAGTTCTGTGACATGACTTAGGATCACTTCCCTGTATACACTTGATCCTATAGTTCTGTGACATAGCTTTTAAGCCTTCCTCACTGCATGTTTAATTGGTTCTTTCCTAAATGTTTCCTTCAGCACGTTGCATCATGTGATTACAATTTGAATAGTTTTTATTGTAGAATTTCTTAGGCAAAATCGAACTGAGGCTGGTTTTGCGATTCTTTTGATATCATTGGTGTTCATGAAGAATTTAATAACTTATTCGTTCTTGGCTTGGTGATACTAAATCCAGAAAAACACTTAAGATTTACTAAATATATAAAGTGGTTTTTTTCATTGTTATCCCTTCTATCGGTCAAGGTTATTAAAAAAGATGGCACCCCGAACGAAGTCATCTTGTTATTGGTAGTTTCCTTTTTTTTTTCTTATTTTTATTTTTCGTCAACCTTTTTGTCCGGGCTAGTTCTCGGATACAAATGGACCAATGTTAATGGAAGTATACCATGATATGAACCACCAAGTGAAGTTGTGCACTGACTTTTGGAATGTGCAAGTTGGTCACCGTTTCCATGAAAACAGCAGAAATATGAATTTTTTTGAAACTTTTAAATCTTTTTTTTTAGACTGAACCTAATAAAATTTTATGAGAATTTAGCTTGTTATGCCTTGATGGGAATACAATATTAAGAACTTCCAAAATGGCCGCCATTGCCATGGATACTTGGGAATAATATATTAATTGAACCCTTATCAGAATGAAAATCATTAAAGTAGCGTTATCTTACAGAATATGATTCAGCAAATCCAGTGAAACTTTATTGAAATGTTATATGTAAACAGTTGTTTTCCATTCGTTAGATGTATTTGAGCTTTTGATTTTGCCAATTGTTAAGAGACTTTCCATTTTGAATTTTCCTTGGAGTTCGGTATTTTTGTTGTTTTACTTTTGTGACAATGTGGCATCTGTCTTGTAGATTATGGAAATGGTTACAGTTACCATGGAAACAGTTTAAATGTAAAAAAAATTCAAAATGCTCTAAAGTTTAATAAACTTTACACAAATACGACTGGCATACGTAGAGTTATTGTTTGACTTTAAAATTAAAAAAAAAATATGCTGCTTTTACCATGGAAACAGCAATTCCGAATAGTCCAAACTTAATGAAGCTTACATACAAATGTTAACTCGCATGTATCAATTCGCTATTTGATTTTGGAATTTCAAAAATGGCTGCCGTGACCGTGGCGATTGGCGGACCGAGTGCTATCCGCTACTTCTTGCAATTGCAAATTAAGTTTAAAAAATTGTATTCTTTTTTTTGTCCACGCTAATTCTCGGAATTGAATGGACCAATTTTGATGAAAGTATGCCATACTGAGGATTACTCATTGTAGTTGTGTACCTAACTTTGGAATGTGCAACGTTTTTTTGGAAAATGTTAAAATTAATAAAAAATTGAAATTCTAAATCTTTGTTTTAAGACCCAAACTAATGAAACTTTATGGAAATATTGCCTTTTGGTGTATTGACAGTATTTAGAAATTATTGAACAATCTTTATTCCCACACAGCCAATGCATTACAGAACAATTTTAAAATACTGTTAACTGTTTAAATAAAAGTACATTCTAATCCCCTTTCTTCTTTGCAACAGCAACCTTTTTGTATTATATATCAAACGTTGAGAAACAGTTTATGATTCCTTTATAACCTAAAATATATGTAAATGTTTCTTAAGTAGAGCACAATATTGAATATATAAAGCATTTTTTCTTAATATTGTTATCACCTAACTGAAAACAAAGTTCATCTAGTTATGAGAAATATTAGTTTGTTACACCTCTCGAAAAGAGATTTTACTCAAAGGCAATACTTCTTATTTTGCGAACTTAGTAATGAAATGTATAAAATTAATAAACTAACATTACAGATTCCTCTGCGAGAATAACGATAGAAACCAGCACTTTTGAGGGGAACGAAAGTAGCACTGAAGAAGCAGAAACTTCCTCTGTAGACACGGTGTTACACGTAGGAGATCGTGTATGTGTTTTCATTCCTGCAGAAGACTTAAAACAGGTGCAGCGTGGACGTGGTGGATGGAGCATGCGCATGACTGAGGTAGGTATCATCATCTTGTTTATAAATCAGACCCCGAATAAAGATTTAATCACAAACGATACAAAAGAACCAAAGGTGCGTTAGCTTTATTCAATTTTTTGTTAGAGTATAAGGATTTCATATCAACAGACAAGCATTGAAAACCTTAGGGCTCTGCGTACGCAGCTGAACTAGGCGGCATTCCCATAGAGACATTGCGTAACATAGATATAAGAAGATGTGGTATGAGTGCCAACGAGACAACTCTCCATCCAAGTCACAATTACATGCAAACTTGTGATGTAAGTTTTGAAAATTGACAAAAGGGGCAATTGCCATAAAAGAAGATGTGGTATGAAAGCAAATAAAATAATTCTCCACCAGAGACCAAATGACGTGGAAGTAAGCAACTATAGGTCATCACACGGCCTTCAACAATAAGAAAAATCCATATCTATCGCACAGCAAACTATAAAAGGCCCCAATGTGAAAAATGTAAAATAATTCAAACGAGAAAAGTAACGGCCAGATTTATGTCATGTATGTACACAACAATAAACAAAAAACAAATATGTTATACAGCAACCAACTGCAACCACTGAATTACTGTACATGCTTTGGAGAAAACATATGAAGAGATCACTAAATGTATTTACAATTTAAATTGATCGATTGCTATAACAAATAGAAGATGTGATTTGATTGCCAATTCGACATCTATTAACCTATAACCAAATGATGCAGATGTAAGCAACTATAGGTCATTATTCGACCTTTAACAACGAACAAATGTTCTGTTCGTATAATTTCTACTATGCGGGACATTAATAAAAGTCAACACTCTGAGAGAGGATAAAGATAATGTAATATGGAGAAATTGTCGACGCAAAGCGCAGTCTGAAGGTTTTGATACATTCTTTAAAGAAAATCTAATTCAACCCAAATCGTCGATAGTAACAGACAATAATTCAGTCGTAACATGGAATGAAAAGATAAACTAATATTTTAACACATACATGAAGGTATAGTCATTATGCCACATTTAAAATTAGGACTACTGTAGACCATATGAGACAATTGTTTAGTTTTAAAAATAGGAAAACAAATCTCTTTTTACAAATCTAGCCTGGAACAAAATATTTTAAGATTTCAAGTTTCAGAATCATATCATCTGATTCAATAAATATTTCTCATTTAATTTTTTTTAATATACTATCACGCGTTGTGAAAATAATTGGACATCATTGTCAAGCCTTCGTAAATCAATGTGGACCATTGAACATCAGTTTTCCTATCACCTATAAGCAAACTTTTCAATGTTCCAATTGTCGTACCTACAATCCCGTCCCCTTTTCCACCGAATGGGACGTACCAAGTTAGACTTATCGCCGGGTGTGTACTAAATTGAGCAACACAAAGGGTGCCACACGTGCAGCAGGATCTGCTTACCCTTCCAGAGCACATGAGATCATCTCCAGTTTTTGGTGGGATTCGTGTTGCTCAGTCTTTATTTTTCTATGTTGTGTTTTGTGTACTGTTGTTTGTCTGTTTGTCTTTTTCTATTTTAGGATTGGCGTTGTCAGTTTATTTTCAACTTATGAGTTTGAATGTCCCTTTGGTATCTTTCGCCTCTTTTTTTACAGTGACTAGCATTAGGAGCAATGAGCTACTGCAACCTCAATTTTCACCGTGTTTTTTTTCTCTCGAGTAAACAGTACGTAATTTATGATATTTCCTTTTTTCGAACACTGTTTAGTGGTTAATGTTTGCAGTAAAGATGTCTTTATTTCTTGAAACTGCAGCGATGGTTGACCATGTGTATAAAAATGGAGATGTGGTATGATGTTCAATGAGACAACTAACAAGAAAGACCAAAGTTAAGTATGTGAACAATTACTGGTCACCGTAAGGCCCTTAACAATAATCAAAATTAATACCGTATAGTTCAATGATACGTATCAATTAAGTTGAGTGTTGACTAAATATAGTATTATTTGTTTTTACAGTGTATTGGGCGGATAGGAAAAGTGAAGAATATAGAATCAGACGAAATCATTGAAGTTGAATATGATGGCAATACATGGCAATTCTACCAAGGAGCACTTAGAAAAGTGAGTATGATGGCAATACATGGAAATTCTACCTAGGAGCAATTAGAAAAGTGAGTATGATGGCAATACATGGCAATTCTACCAAGGAGAACTTAGAAAAGTTAGTATGATGGCAATACATGGCAATTCTACCAAGGAGCACTTAGAAAAGTGAGTATGATGGCAATACATGGCCATTCAACTAATGACCACTAAGAAAAGTGAGTAAGACAGCAACTCATGAAAATTCTACTAATGGGCACTAATACAAGACTTAGTGAGGATGATAGCAACACACGGCAACTCTACAAATGAGCATTTAGAAAAGTCAGTATGACAGCACCGCATTGCAGTTCAACCAAGAATCCTTTAAAAAGTGATTATGATGGTGTCTCATGGCAATACTATCAAGGCTCACTAACAATTTAGTTAGATTGACATACATAGCAGTTCTACCAAGAGATTTTGTGTATTTGCAAAACATGTCAACTCTCTCTAGCAAAATCATAAAAGAACGACTACAGTCGACCCTATGCAATTTATTCGGTTATATGTCTCAGTAACCATCACGAAACAATTGACCGACCTGATGTATCTGTGTGTGTCTTGAATGGAGCCCAAGGAAAAATTTACAATAAATATTTAAATGTAACGAAAAAAAATATAACACAGTCAATCATCTGTCGATATATGTATTTTTTGTAGGTTTATGACATTAAACCAGGAGACACAGTAAAGATCCTTAGTGAACCAAAGACTGTAGAATTGTTACAGAAAGGTCATGGTGGTTGGGAAGATGCAATGATAAAGGTGAGGCACAATGTTTATTTAATAATGTTATTTTCATATTTCTTGCACAAAATGATTAATAATCTTCTAACAATTGAAAATCGAAGCTGTATAGTATTTTGGTAGCAATGCTTCATTCCGTTCATTGTCTTTCTCTTTAACCAAATCACAATTATATTCGTATTTTAAACCTTAGATAAACGAGTAAAAACATTGAAGATAAACCCCATGTTCATAGAAATCTAAGCCGTGTGTATGTCGAAGATCCTCAACAATAACTCGTTTAGGGGTCTATAAGTGACTTACTGTCGATTTTTTTCCTTCACCCATGCCTATTACACGTATAAACAAACTGCTGAAAGAACTTCATTACTGCATACTATCCTTCTCTTTCGTACCAGTAAAGTATGTATTGTTATGTTATTTGTTCCTTATACACTGACAACACGTAAAATGGTATCATACTTGTTTACTATATTTATATATCAGGCATGTGGGAAAATAGGAAAAGTTGAGAAGATAGATAGTGATGGTGATGTCGTTGTACAGTTTGGTCAGCAAGTCTGGGTCTATAGTCCTGCCTCTATGATACCTGCTCCAGGAAAGAAAGTTGATACACTTGAAGGCAAACAGGAAACATCGTTTGCAACCTCAAGACGTGGTGCTGGTATGACGTAACTTATAATACTGAGTATAGAAAAGATACAATCACTCTTCACCAGACAATATTGTTTTAAATATGATTCTAATTACCGATAAAACACACAGTGCATCGGGAAAGTGGCTAAGTAGAAATCGTGTTTTGTTTAAAAAAACAATATCTGTTTTGATAAAAAACATTACATACCTACAGCACAAATAATACTTTAATTGATTTCAGTAATAACATAAGTATAAGATAAGCTTGAGCAGTTTTAGGATTATCAATGAAACACCTATTAAAAGGACAAATAACAGACGTTGTTAATTTCAAATCATTGTGTGGCCTTCAATAATAAGCATAACTGCTTAATTTATATATAAATATCAAAAGCGAAGGGGTTTAAAACGAACAGCGAGTATTTCATTGATCAATTGCATCAATATTTCATACTTATTCATAATTTATCAATTCTAAGCATGTTGTGTTATTAAATTATTGCTGGGTCCAACCTATGGTCCATCAATTACTTCAGCAAATCAAAAATAATCCCACAGACGTTTTTGATGTAGATGTGTTTAATAATCTACAGTCAATATAAAAAAGATGTAGTATGATTGTCAATAAGACAACAAGAGACCAACTGACACAGAAATTAACAACTTTAGGTCACCATACGGCCTTCAACAATGAGCAAAGCCCATACCGCATAGTCAGCTATAAAACTATCGTGGTCTTTCATTGTTAAAGTGGCCTTGAATTACAAACATTCCTGAAAAGCAATTGTAAGTAAAGAAACATCAACCAACGCTTTCATAAAATTTTTTGTTCTTTAAGAGAATGTTCAAGATGACCTTGCAGATAGCCTTGCTCGGTTGGTAGCAAACCTGGTAGTTTTAGGTCATCAACAAAGACTCCAAACCATTGGCCCAGAGCAAATGATACAGGCGTGTGCTAAAGGTGATATTGCATCAGTGCAACAACTTATAAAAATGAAGAAAGATTTGGTAAACACTTAAATAAGTATATACATAATAGTCCGGGATGTTAATACAAAGAATATATTTACTTGTGGCAACCGAATTGTACGTCAGGCAATATTATACATAACAAGCAACAGTAGGTTACACAAGTCCTTGATACATATATATGCGCATCTTTTGTGGAAAAATTGGTACCGTTAATGTAATAAGAATACACAAAACAAGATTGTAAACAAAGTATAAGGGAATCGTACAATCCAAAATCAAACTAGACTGGTTGCATTGATTGGATAAGCTTCTCTAGCTATCAAGGCAGTACGTGCTATAGGATATTATAGTTTAAGATATTATACGTATAGATTTTTAATTGGTAAAATTAAAAAGTGTATCAGAAAAAGGGAATTAATGTTCAATTTCACACGTTGAATAAATAAAAATTGAAGTATAATACTTGCATCATTTCCCCAACTACAACCATACATTAACATTGATTAAAAAAATGCGACGAGAACATACATACAAATTACAGTAATACTATAGTGTAATACAAATGCTAATTGTTTATGTTGTGATGCATGTCATCTGTATCTTTTATGTATATTTTCAATCAAAGGTCAATTGTAAGTTTAAAGATCTGACGCCATTAATGATAGCAAGTCATGAAGGACATATGGATATTGCCAAATTATTACTAGCCAGTGGTGCTAACATCAACACAAAGACTAGCGAAAATAATACAGCACTACTTACAGCAGCAGCAGGGTGCGTAACTCTTAACAAACCTTCCTTAAATTGTCCGTTAATAAATTTTAAATTATAAGAAACTAAGATTTGAACTTCCTCAGGCAAAGTTGACCATTAAATAAATTTTGATATTTTTTTAGGTCATTTTTGGTCACATAGCTCTTCGACTGTTTAGGCAATTATACATTCTTGGCTTTCAAATATTCGGCTTTGAGCGTTCCTGATGAAGGTATATCCAGAAAAGTGCTTCGGACGCATGAAATTTATAACGTGTTGTTTCTATTTTCTAACAAATATTATCATGACGGTTTAGCCACATCAGCGCTCTGTTGCACACACCCAGGTGGATTTTTATCAGCCTTAGATGCAAAGGGCAAAATCTAACAAACACAGTCAAAGTTTTGCGAAGTAAAATCTAAGCAACAATGGTACACATGGTTATATTATTTATTTCGGCATTTATTTCTTCGTGTAATATTTTGTCACCTAGGAAAAGCTGCACTATACAGTATGTAAAAAAACCAAAGCATTTGTGTACAAAAAACATGTTAGTCTTGTTTAAAAAAAATATATGAGTATCCGATGCTTTCTTTTTGTGACTTTGCTTTGTGGAAAACTGATATATACAAAATATTTTGCAGTAAGAAAGAAATGCTGGCATTGTATTTGGTTTCCCAAGGAGCAAGTGTAACAGAAATTGCTAAAAATGGAAGAAGTCTCGCTCATCATGCTAGTTATTGTGGAATGTTTGCTCTTTTAAAAGCTGTTTTAGAAAAAGGATGTGATCCGAACGTGCAGGTAAGTTAACAATCTGATTGAATTATTTTTCAGGGTTCTTGGATTTGTCGTAATGTAACATAACTTTAAAAAAATGATGAACATATTTTTTTCTTGACATACATGACATATTATCAGAACAGAAAGTAAAGTGTAGCATTTCAATATCCTTGTACATGCAAAATGGACAAATGGATCTGTATTTGTTCGCACCTGTGCTAAGTCAGAAATCTGATGTTCAGTGGTTGTCGTTTGTTGATGTGGTTCATAAGTGTTTCTCGTTTCTCGTTTTTTATATAGATTAGACCGTTGGTTTTCCTGTTTGAATGGTTTTACACTGGTCATATTTGGAGCCCTTTATAGCTTGCTGTTCGTTGGGAGCCAAGGCTCCGTGTTGAAAGCCGTACTTTGACCTATAATGGTTTAATTTTACAAATTGTGACCTGGATGGAGAGGTGTCTCTTTGGCACTCATACCACATCTTCTTATATCTAGTAAATCAGATTTGATAATGAAAAAAATAATTTTATTTAACGTTTTCCTATGTGTCATGTTTAACTTAATTAGAAAAATTCGAAGCAAAAACATAGGACCATAGAAAAAGAAAAACGACGAATATCTATAAATGAGAGACAGAACAAAATAAAACATGTGAAAAGGTAGCCAAAGTCATAACTCGAAATTGAACTGACATTGTCATGACAAAAAAAACCAAAGAAAAAACACTCTTCAAAACACAACATAGTAACTGAAGACTAGCAAATCGAACCAACCATTCCTAGTGGTGAGATCGTGTCGTGTTACTCAAAACCGGTGATAAGTCCAAATAAGAAGGTCAAATGCGAATTAAAGAAGACGGGATTGGGGTACGACAATCTTTAAAAGTTCATTAGTTCATAAGGAATTTTTGTGTTATGATGTAAAAAGTTTTTGATATTTAAGGATATTGAGGGTGATACTGCTCTTCACGACGCCATTGCTAAAGGACACGATAGAGCAGTCAACATTCTACTGAGTCATCCGAATATTAACATGACTCTTGTCAACAAGAAAGGTTTCCATCCACTTGTGTTTGCTGCTTTTAAGGAAAATGAATTGTAAGTTTATTTACCATTACAAAGTACACGAATTCATATTGAAAAAATTTAACAGGAATAGCTCATTTAACATGTTTATATAAAGACCTAGTAGTAGTAGTGGTAGTAGTAGTCAAGACCAAATACAATGTGCGAAAAATCATTGATGATTGCTATTTTATTCTTAGATGCATGATTTGTTTTGCTTTTTGTTATTGGCTTAGTACTAGCTTTCAGTAACTGCGAATACTCTCAGATGTGTGGTTTATGTCTATTGTACCTTTGTAAATTCTTTTATGCCCCACCTACGATAGTAGAGGGGCATTATTTTTTTGGTTTGTGCGTCCGTCCGTTCGTCCGTCTGTTCCCGCTTCAGGTTAAAGTTTTTGGTCAAGGTAGTTTTTGATGAAGTTGCAGTCCAATCACCTTGAAACTTAGTACACATGTTCTCTATGATATGATCCTTCTTATTTTAATGCCAAATTAGAGTTTTGACCCCAATTTCACGGTCCACTGAACATAGAAAATGATAGTGCGAGTGGGGTATCCGTGTACTATGGACATATTCCTGTTTGCTTTGTATCAATCTGACGAGTAAAGCCTTTTTATGCCCCCACGACAAAGGCATATTAATTTACCTCTGTCCGTACGTCGGATTATGATACATTGCTTGACCGGCTATCTCCTCCTACAGTTTTGGAGGTCCAACCTTAATATTATGTAGGATGTTCATACACATAATGAAGGTGTGCATGGCCACAGAATTTTGATTTTTTTCAAATATTCTGAAAATGACAGGTAGTTGGACTTAGTCATTGTTTTGGTACTAGCTGCATAAAGAGATCATGGTTTGTCCGGCTATCTTCTCTTACAGTTTTGGAGATACAGCTTTAATATTTTGTAGGATGTTCATACACGTAATGGAGGTGTGCATGGCCACAGGATTTTGATTCTTTTAAATATTCTGAAAATGACAGGTAGTTGGACTTAGCCATTTTTTTTGGTACTAGGTGCATAAAGAGATCATGATTTGTCCGGCTATCTTCTCCTACAGTTTTGGAAATACAGCTTTTATATTGTGTAGGATGTTCATACACATAATGGAGGTGTGCATAACCACAGGATTTTAATTTCTTTTAAATATTCTGAAAAAGACAGGTAGTTGGATTTTTTGTCAAATCTAAAATATGTTGAACTATACTCATGCATATGGCAGAGCAGAAAAGGGTGGGGCATTGTCCATATCTAGTTCGATTAATTTTCCTAGTTTGTTCTCATGTTGGTATGCTTTGATTCATTTCTGAGTTGTAATTCCATTGCTGTAACGTTTGTTGTAGTTTCATAGTAGTTATAACGTAACGAGGAAGATAGCCGGTTTATACTCCATCCAAAAATTGTATCATAACCTATTTCAGTTTTACGCATATATTTGACGATAACTTACTATAACTTGTATCGACAGTGCTGTAGAAAAACTTCTAGACAAATCACAAAGTTTAATGAAGATGACAAAGTCTGACGGGTCATCAGCACTGCATATTGCTGCAATCAACGATCATCGCCAGGTTGCATCCATCCTACTATTAAAGGTTTGTTTGTTACAATCGTAGAGAATTTATGTATTGAAAACATAAGATAAAACACATATGTAATACTACGCTTTGGTTCATAACCGGTTCACTGGTGTCGTAGTAGAGTACTACTCCGCGTGTTTTATGTCGGTGATTAGATCCCAAACCGGGTCTAAAACAAGACATACAAATTGTTATTTCCTGATTTTTCGCTAAGCACTAGGTATATATAACACTAGATACCAAATTTTAAACTGAAACGGACGTTTGAATATGTACAGCTCTTAAAATACTGAACAATTGATCATTATGTCATGTCTAGTCTTTCAGTCAATTTTCAGATTTATCCTCTGCAGTAAATTTATTACTGTTCAGACAATTAGCTTGTAGTCTTTTAAGATCTGTTCAGACTACATTCTGATTGTGCATTAAACCTATATTGGTTATACTGTTTTGGCATTTTTGGTTTATAAGCTCTTCATATTCTTACTAAGCTTTTGATTTTCAAATATTTTGGCCCCGAGCTTGGCTGAAGAAATGTTTATTGTCGAAATGCGCATTTCGTGCAGAAAAATTGGTACCGTTAATGTTATAACTACCTCTGCGTCGATTTCTCTGCTGGTGGACTGTAAGTCCACGATGGTATCACGAGTTCAAGATTGGTACCATTAATATTATTAAACAACAGCATAGTTAATGTCTGAAAAGTTGAATGTCCAGAAATGTCTGAACTGTACTAAATTTATACAGGAAACTATCTAAAACATGACTTTTAGTCATTACAGTTTTTAAGGTCTCAGACGTTTAACATATTTAAGACGGACATGCATTTTACAAGTGGTAGTAAAAGCAAAGGCTAAAGTCAGATTAATGTGTCCGCGGACTGTACCTTTTAAACTAACAAATTAAAAATCAGGCATAGTGTGACTGTTTAATACCAGCAGGCTTCATATACATATCACAACATGTTCTCGTCGTGAATATTTATATTTCCTTTGTTTCTTTTGCCTTTTTGTTACCTTGCCACTGGTTTTTGAACAGCCATCACCATCCTTAGTTCATTTGAAACATTTAAATGGCTTGGTATTTGAAGCATGCTATAGGGTCATTCTGGCTTTCCCGCGAAAATCATTTAATGCTATCAAATGTAAATATCTTAAAGCTAAAATAAAACCAAATAGTCCAGTCGATTTGTGCAGATTTTTGGCAAAATTGCTCAGATTGTGGTAAAAGCATGAAATTTGGCATAGTATTAGTATATGTCGTGGACAACATTTTCTGTATGGACCCATTCTGAAAGACGAGAGTGGCGGGAGAGGCAGCCATTTTTAAAATGGCGGACGTTTGATTTCTATAAATTCATAAAAAAAATCATGAAAAATATATTAGAGAAGATATTGACATAATACCTGGTAAATAGAATGACAGTACTTATACCAATTGTCTTGTTGAACAAAATTTTAAAAAATGTTACCCATATTGAATGGCGGCCATCTTAAAAAATCTTGAAATTTATTAGCGAAAATAGGTAGAGAGCTCCAAAGTCATTATTCGATAAAAATAAATATACAAATATGTACATTGTCAAACATATAGAAATATATTTGTATGAGCTTTAGAAACACGACGAAAAGCGAGGCCCCCCATGTTTTTCTCCTATTTCGTACAAATACAAATGAATTTCCGACAATGTACATATATTGTCTTTATCCAGAAATATACACCCAACACTTGAAACTTAAGTTATTTAAATCTGAATCATTGTTTCTTATGTTCCAAAGTAATCGACACACTGACCGCGAAGAGGACTGTAAAATGAAATGTTACGCAAAACGCAATATCCAAACTATCGCTTGCTCAACATAGAATAACAGAGATTTTTATTTTACAAGTACAAATAAAGCAAAAATTTATTTGTATACCAGTCATTTACAATACTTGGCTGAGTACAGGATAAATCATTTTGTTGATATTGTTTATCTGAAACAACTTTCAAAAACTTTGAGTGCAGATATAATGAGTAAAATCATCTGCTCAAATGTTCTCAATTGACGTTAAAAAGAAATCTCCCAATAAATGAGTTGTACATGTATTGTCAAACCACACAATAGCTGTCTGTGTCTATCATATTCAATCACATTGTCTTCCACATTTACAATTAGTAGTAACAGTGTTCAATTTGACGTTCACATTTTATTATTTAAGCGCTTGCTGCAGAAGGGTTCCTATATAGTCACATGGTATAATCACCACAAATGACATGGACTGTTATCCTGAGGACTTTAGATATTGAATTTTTAGTGGCCATCTTGAATGATGGTCATTTTGAAAACATGAATTTCCAATATATCTTTATTTACTATTTTTATTTATTCACTGTTTGCATTTATACTGTTTTTGCTGATTTATATTGGATATTAACCAAGTGGTCAGATAAAGCATGAATTTTTATGTTATAAAGGTATTAGTATCAAAATTTCATTTACTTACACGTTTGCCTAAGTATTTTTTACAACAGAAATTACGTAAATATGATATAACTTATGACCGAACTTTGTTGGAAAGGATTAAAATTGTAGACTTCGAAACAAACTGGAGCTAGATGTCGAAAACACTTGAGCAGAATAACCTAATGAACAAATAGACTAGAAGAAATGTATGAAACGGCAAGAGAAGACATGTGAGGATTTGCAATGTCAAGCAGATACAAAAAGAACAGACAAAGACATTTGAGCTGGTAATCAGTCCTTTGATGCAAGCATAGAAATATGTTGGGCCTTGAATTGGTTCTTTAATCGCTCAATTTGAAACAGTTGAATGAAGGCTATGCTACGGAACTGCAGAAGCACTCCAGAATCACAAGGCAAAATGGGACAAATTATGTCGAGACAAATTTTCAGATCTCAAATATTTCATCAGTAAAAGCGGAAACATAATTTGGAAGTAACAGTTACCAACCAGACACCGTAAAGTGGTACTAGTACTGGAAAAATGACTGCAGTGTATTTTTTTCTGTGGTGATGTATCTGGAGATCTCCATGATGCATTGTCATTTTTAATCGACAAAAATAGTGCATGACTGTGCACCTGTACTACAAGACAATATTCTCTTAGCAAAACTAATTGCTGGAGATGTAATATCACAAGTATCAATCTTAATGATTGATAAAACTTGACAACATAAAAAATAGACAGAATTAAAAAAACACAGAAAGAAGGCTATGCATCTTTTATACTTGGAATTTTGTTTTCCGAAATAATAGAATACATTGACGGGCCGCACGGTCTGAAACAGTTTTTGGGCCAATCTTCACGCTTACAGATCACATTAAATTGTACAGTAACCGCTTGGAGTAGTCATGGAAGGAAGAACCTTCACAACACATAAAAAACAATGGAATGTAGCTGCCATAGAAGATCTGCAAGCATACAAGCAAGGTAGATTAGTTCTCTTGATTTTCAACGAAGGTATTCGTGAAGCTCTAAAACAGACCATATCTTGAAAGGGTGAAAATGAAGACATCATCATAGACATATCAGGCAAAAGAGTTTAAAGAGATATGCTTGATACTAAGCATGGCTTTTTACAGGGGCATTCAACAGCTGCCAACACGAATCAGTTCAACGTTAGTTTCCTTAGTAAGAATGATGCAAGGATGACCACACATCGAGACAATAGCCAGTAATAGTCGCAGACAGTAGTTGCTAATTTGCAGCTATAAAACTTCAATTGTGCAACTCGATGTCGAAAGGATACAACTGCAAATTATCATTCCCCAGATAGAGAGTAAAATGTCTCAATGTTTGTGTAACGGATTCATTTTGAAAGCCTTCATTGAATGTCCCTGTAAAGGTTTTTATAGTAGCTAGACTATCTTTACAAACTATTCTAGTTACTTTGGCTATGATGAGGCCTTCATTATCACGACTATGAGACATGACCTGTTTTAGACGTTCACTTACATATTCGTTGAAAAGCAGGAGAACGACACTACCTTGCTTGTGTTCTTGCATATCTTCTATGGCAGTTAGTATCAAATTTTTCAGAAGCGTTGTATTAATTATTCCTTCCGCCGATTTGCTCAAGGTGTTTACTGTACAATATATTTTTTTTTTCTTAACGAACTTTATTGAGATCTGAAAATGTGTTTTGACAGGATTCCATTCCATGGCCTTCATCAACTTAGAACAGTTGAACAATGTGAGATACAAATTCAATGTGCAACATCTTTGTATGCTTACAACAAAGGACTCAAATTTCTATGTTATGCTCTTTTTGTATCTGCTTGACATTGCAAATCCTCACGGGCACTGTCTTGTCGTTTTGTAATTCTTTGAGTCTATTTGTTCATTAGGGTTTTCAGCTCCAGTGATTTTAATACCTACATTTTTTTCCCTTTTCGACATAGAGTGGTCATAAACTATATTGTATATACATATTTTGGTGTGGTAAAAAGTAACTTAGGCTAACCTAACCTAAGAGACATTATGTATTTCTTTTGATACACTTATTTTGTTGACATATGCATGCCTTTTTTGACCACTTGGTGAATATCTGATAAAATTAGCAACAGTCATATATAAATGATTAGCAAAACTAGTTGTAAATGCATAAAAACATTAGTATAAATGCAAATATTAATTTAGGATAAATAATAATGATATATTGGAAATTTATGTTTTCAAAATGGCCACCATTCAAGATGGCCGCCGATACTTTATTTTATGAGTCCTCAGATGATTGTCTTTGTCATTAGTGATGAATATATGAAAGGTTATCAAAATTGGTAAAGTCATTTATTTTTTATATTTTTTTAATGATAATAATCAACGTTTTTTTAGGCCATTTCAAAATGGCCGCCCAGAGCAGCCATTTTGATTTTTCGAATTGGGTCCATAGCTATAAATGTTACTTATGACCTCAACTAAAGCTCTGCAAAATTTGACGCTTTTTCCCACAATCTGAACAATTGTTTCACAAATCGACTGGACTAAAAACAACTGTCTAAAAGGAATATAAGAAAATAATTTATTAATAATTTCTAAATTAATCAATGGATGATTTAATAAAAGGTATGTTTTATATATAATGTAAGAGAAAGACGATGATATTCAAACTCATAAGTTGAAAATAAACTGACAACGCCATGGCGAATAAAAAGAACAAAGACAAACGGCAGTACACAAAGCACAACATGGAAAACTAAAGACTGCATTACAGCAGTCCTTTACTAGCGATATCAGACCAATGCTAGAAAGAAAAACGACACTAAGGTGCGTTCGACCTATATTCCAAAACGCTTAAAACAGTGAAATACAGATACTTGAAAACAGAAAAAATGTCTTTAATCAATGTATAAACTTTCAGGGTAAAGCAAATGTAAACTTTAAGGATAAACAAGGATTGACACCTTTGCATTTAGCTTGCCATGAAGCTTACTTTGAGATGGTCAAGTTGTTGATACAGAACGGTAAGTCATTCAATTTTATGATGATTTTATTTAATTCATTGGAATGTTATAACTAATTGATTACTTAATATTGTAATAGACAATATGTCTGATGAAAAAATGAAATATATGTGTAGGACTCTAAAGTGCGATGGGGACGCTAAAACGCGATGGTCACGCTAAAGTGCGATGGTCTACGCTAAAGTGCGATGATTTGATACGCTAAAGTGCGATGGTCAGGACTATTCAATGGAATATACTAAAGTCCGATGCTTCAATACGCTGAAGTGCGTTTTTCCGCGAAAGAGCGTTTGATAGCGAATATATTATGGACGTTAGCATCGTCACATGCCGTTTGTACAAACAAAAATGGACATGCCGGAAAACGAGAATGTTTGTCCAGATGACGGATTTTTATTAAACAAGACAAAAAAAAGAAGAGAGAAACAAATGATCTCAATCCGGATTATTTTTGGTCGGCGCTCGAAGAATTTAAATTGATTTGTATAAAGAAATTTGATCAAAACAGCTGGACTGCCAAAAAAAAAATGATTTAGAAACTCCTTCTTTGTTTGTAATCCCATGTCATTTATGTTAAAGGGATGAATATTCGTCAACTAGACAATAGGTTTAGTATCATCATGTCATTGCCAATGGAACAACTCTTTATCCAAGACAAAATGTCATTCATGAAAACAACTATATGGCATTGCATTGGCTAAAACCGCCTAGTATTCTATTAAGACCAAATGACCTCAAAACGACCAGTATAAAATAATTCAAACGAGAAAAAACAGCCTGATTTCTATACAAATCAAGAAAAGAAAAACAAATATGAAATAAAGCAACAAACGACTACCACTGAATTACAGGTTCATAAAGTATATACTAGCTACTGCAATATGTAACCATTACACTTTTTAAATAACTATCGTACTTTAAATAAAAATAAGAGGATGTGGTATTGTCAATGCGACAACTATCCACCCAAGATCACAGGTCATTGATGTATGCAACTTATGACCGTACAGCCTTCAACGTGGAGCCTTGGCCAACGCTGCAAAGCCAGCTACATGTATATAAGGACACACAGTGACCAGTGTAAAACAATTCAAAAGAGAATGACAACGGCTTGAATTGTAAAGAAATCATTAAACGGAAATCTAATAGGAACATGGCAACAAACGAAAACCATTGCATGAACTCAATTCCCGTTACATCATCGCACTTTAGCGTGTTATACCATCGCACTTTGGCGTGTCATACCTTCGCTCTTTAGCGTGTCATATAATCGCGCTTATAAAACAAAGAACCATCGCACTTTAGCTTTAAACACCATCGCACTTTAGCGTAGACCATCGCATTTTAGAGTACCATTGCACTTTAGAGTCCTACATATATTTTAATTTGAGCCGACCATATGATTGGTTTTATTTATTTTTTTTGGGGGGGTGGGGGTATATTGGCCTGGAAAGAACTGAAAATAAATGACTTTGCTAACGACAGGATGAAACTGAATATCCTGCAACACAAAAATGACAGAATCAAATGTATACAAAAGTGAAAATAAAATGCGTAGTAACAGATGAAAACAAATGATCAATCCGGAAAAAATCCTCCTGCCCCCTGCACCACTCCAAAACCCCCACCCGCCAAAGTATCAAATGGTAGTTCCTAACGTCATAGGAAAGGGAGCTTGTTTGTGATGTAGTCTCTACATATAAAAACATATACACTATATTACATACAAAATGCATTTTCTAAAAGTTATCCCATGCTGTCTAGCTAGGCAAAAAAAAACAACATAAGTTATTGTTGGTTAAATCGATTTGTATTATATTTCATTTAAATATACTTGCTTTGGCCATTTATTTGTAGATTTGAAAAAGAGTATTAAACAAATCGAATCGCAAAAGTTCTAAAATGAATCAATCAAATGTAAAGTTAACGAATTTTAGCATAGAAATTCCGATAGAAAAAAATGTTCCAAATACGGCTAGAGATTCTGCATGTTCTGAGGATAGAAACAGCTAGTTAAACCGTTAATCAGAAAAAAATGTATACATATATTGATGTGTCAGAAATTTGTTTATTATGACTTAATACTTACAGTGGAAATAAAGTCAACAATAGTATACCGCTGATCAATAGTCATAATTCGATTAAGCAAAATCAAATCCGGGTAACAAACTAAAACCGAGTAAAACACATCAACTATAAGAGGAAAACAACGGAACACACAGAAACACTGAATTATAACAAAAGCAAACGCCAACATACATATAAACGGACTGTAGATAACAACTGCCATATTCCTGACTTGGTACAGGTCATTTTAAAAAAATAGTGGGTTGAACCTGGTTGTATGGCTAGCCAAGCCTCCAGCTTATATGGCAAAGTTAAAAATACAAAACGCAAGAACACTCAGAGAAATACATAAATAAATAATATAATAGTACATTACAACATGCAAACCGCAGAATAACAACGGACACCTCCTATGAATTTACGAAAGATATATTAAAAGAAGGAAATATCAAATATCTTACAGGAGCTGATGTAAATATAAAGGACAATGATGGTGATACACCTTTACATCTTATTCTTGGTATTCAACAAAGACCACCGGTGACGGGGGTATGTTATAAATACACAAACGTATATAAAGTCTAAAAAAGGAATATATATATATTTATATATATCTATAGTTTGTTTTTGTTAACTCTTATAATTTATTTAACAAATGAACAAGAGGAGTATATTGCTGTTTTGAAGTTTGCATGCTTATTTAAAACAATCCATATACTTATTTTCCAAATTTGCCATTTGTTCATGATGTATAAAACTGGATGATTATAATTCCTTAGAAAGAAAGTAACACCATTTCATATATTTACAGCTTCTTGGATTAATGCTGATGGCTCAGCCAAATGATGACAATGATCGTTTCAAAATAGCCTGTTTATTGATGGAAAATAAAGCAAACATTCAAACGACCAACAACAATGGTAAAACACCTCTTCAAGTTTGTCGAAGTCAGAGAGTAAAGAATGCAGTTGAAAACTACATACGACAAAAGTAATTCTGATTTTAACTATAATTCTGATATTTTTCAACCTTAATGTAAATTGAAAGAGAACTATAATTTTTGTGCATCCAAAGATCTCTTCTAGATTTATATTATCAAGAACGCTCTGCTTAGTCTTAGTTTCATAATTATTTCTTAATCTAACAACGATAAATACAGATTGATACATGTTATTTTCTATATCGACCCGGGTATCATCCCGAGACCCACATATCAGCCCAAAATAGTATTTCTAAAAATAATTTTCAGGTATTGATCTTATTGTATAAGGTTGAAGAGATCTATAATTCTTCGTTTCTTCATAATATATCATCCCCTCATTTCAGTACACTTCTTATATTACAATTTGTTTTCTAAAGTATTGCAAGCATTGTTGTTTTATCAATTATACATTTTAGATTCAATGAAGTTTTGTTAAAATTTGATGACCAAAAGATATATTCTTTATAAAATATTTGCTTGTGTAGAGACTGGCGGATATTTGCAGGTTTGAATAAATATTGAATGTACCCGTGGAGTAAATATCAATATACTTACAAACCGATGTACTCGTGGGGTAAACATAATGAAACCAAAAAACCGATGTACTCGTGGGGAGAACAATTAAACCAACAAACCGATGTTCTCGTGGGGTAAACATAATTAAACCAACAAACCGATGTACTCGTGGGGTAAACATAATGAAACCAAAAAACCGATGTACTCGTGGGGTGAACAATTAAACCAACAAACCGATGTTCTCGTGGGGTAAACATAATTAAACCAACAAACCGATGTACTCGTGGGGTAAACATAATGAAACCAAAAAACCGATGTACTCGTGGGGTGAACAATTAAACCAACAAACCGATGTTCTCGTGGGGTAAACATAATTAAACCATCAAACCGATGTACTCGTGGGGTAAACATCAATAAACCAACAAACCGATGTTATCGTGGGGTAAACATAATTAAACAAACACACCGTTGTACGCGTCGGGTAAACATAATTAAACCAACAAACCGATGTACTCGTCGGGTAAACATCAATAAACCAATAAACCGATGTACTCGTGGGGTTAACATCAATAAACCAATACACCGATGTTCTCGTGGGATAAACATCAATAAACCAACAAACCGATGTACCCGTGGGGTAAACATCAATAAACCATCAAACCGATGTACCCGTGGGGTAAACATCAATAAACCATCAAACCGATGTACCCGTGGGGTAAACATCAATAAACCATCAAACCGATGTACCCGTGGGGTAAACATCAATAAACCATCAAACCGCTGTACCGGTGGGGTAAACATCAATAAACCATCAAACCGATGTACCGGTGGGATAAACATCAATAAACCAACAAACCGATGTACCGGTGGGGTAAACATCAATAAACCATCAAACCGATGTACCCGTGGGGTAAACATCAATAAACCATCAAACCGATGTACCGGTGGGGTAAACATCAATAAACCATCAAACCGATGTACCCGTGGGGTAAACATCAATAAACCAACAAACCGATGTACCGGTGGGGTAAACATCAATAAACCATCAAACCGATGTACCCGTGGGGTAAACATCAATAAACCATCAAACCGATGTACCGGTGGGGTAAACATCAATAAACCAACAAACCGATGTACTCGTGGGGTAAACATCAATAAACCAACAAACCGATGTACTCGTGGGGTAAACATAATTAAACCAACAAACCGGTGTACTTGTGGAGTTTAACATCAATAAACCAACAAACCGATGTACTCGTGGGGTAAACATAATTAAACCAACAAACCAATGTACTCGTCGGGTAAACATCACAATGACAGCAACCCGACAAAACAAGATAATAAGAATATTGATCAAAATTAAATCATAAAATGACCAAGTATTGGAAACATATCTTGACAAAATTATAAACTTTCAGATTTAAAGTCAAATTGTATAGGTCGTGTTTTCTGATATTTCACCTTATTTAAACCAACCATAGCTTTTATTTCATTGTTATCACTTTCAAGGCAACCGCAACAACAGAAACCAGCGGCAACACGGGGAGCCACGGGAGATCCCTTTGTAGACTTACTGGCGGCATTGTTAGTCAAGCCGTGTGCAAATTGTAGAGAGAATGTTGCTAATGCAAAGTTCGTACCATGCGGGCACAAACTAGTATGCGAAGAGTGCAGTTTGAGATTTAATGTATGTCCACAATGTAGGTCGCCAGTACAAGCAAGGCTTGATAATCGTAAGTGTTTGTCTTTTATTAGAATATCTAGGTGCATATACACTATGAGTGTGTTTTGAACTCGACGCAATTTGGCATTCAGGCAAACACAAGTACCGATTGTCATGAGCTATGTAATTTGTTTGAATTTTACTATTGAGATTTGTTCATTAATTTACACAAAAAAAATGAATTCAGCAGCTTCCCGATTGTGAACGTTCCATTCTATCTATCAATATCCAGCAGCGGCTGTATGTAGAATATATATTTCACATGTAATACAATATTCTAGAGCTTGCATTTCCAATCATGATTTTCCTAAGTTGAAAAAAGAATAAAACTTAAAATACCGAACTCCAAGGAAAATTTAAAACGGAAAGTCCCTTATTAAATGGCAGCATCAAAAGCTAAAACACATCAAACGAATGGAAAACAACTGTCATATTCCTGACTTGGTACAGGCATTTTATTATGTAGAAAATGGTGGATTAAACCTGGTTTTATAGGTAGCTAAACCTCTCACTTGTATGACAGTCGTAACAAATTTCATTATATTGACAACAATTTGTGAACAAAACAAACAGACAAAATAGGTAAAAATGTCTATAATAGGGTTACAGCAGTCAACATTGTGTTATAATCTAAATCACTAGAAAGACAAACAAATTTGACAATAAAGGAATACAAAATGGCATATAGACAAAGCACATAAGCAAAAATGAAAGACATGAATACGAAAAATGGCCGCAGCATAATAACACAATGGCGGGATGTATAAGTACTGAGCCACGCCAAAAGAATATTACCACAAATGGACTAAACAATAATGATCAATAATTTACAAAGACAAATGAAAGAATACTTAAACACGTAATTAAGATGATAAACAGCGTCAGTACCTAGAATCTATATTTCAAGACCATCATGTATCATTTGTGAATTATCAACAAGGTCTTGGTATCTTCCGATGAACTTTTTTAGAAAAAGGACGACACGTTCTCTGACATAATCCTTGGATCTTCAACCTTCTGCTCAGACACTGGTGACGTTTTATAAAGCCTGAGTAGCAGCTGCAAGCTCTCGAAGTTATCACTTCGGAAATTTTACGGACACCATTAAGAGTTGACCGTTATGGAACACACTTGATTCACAGATGACGACAGATATGTTCCAATTCCGGTACCACAATCCCGTAGTAATTTCCCCGAATATGACCTACCGAATTAGACTTTTCATCGGGTTTGTACTTACATAAGCAACACGACGGGTAGCAAATGTGTTTTGTAGAATGTTTGTTTTTTGGTCGTATTAAGTTTTTAGCCATTGTTAGCCATATTCAGTTCGTTTTAGACTGATGGTTTGACAATCCTTTTGGTATCTTCTGACTTACTGTTGTAATGACGCAAATGTTTATGTTTGTTCTCTAACAGTTGAACATAACATTCCTACCATAAATACCATTGTGTAAGCCAGTATTCGAACCTAGGACTACTGACTCAGTTCGTTATTTGTCTTCATACTGAGCTCAGTAAATATTTACTTATTCTTGAAAATAAGGCTTCTTGTAAATTTTATACTGAATATTCATGTTATTCAAATAAAAGTTCCACTATTAAATAAAGGCAACAGTAGTATACTGTTGTTCAATAGTCATAAATCGATTAAGCGAAAACAAATCCGGGTCATAAACCAAAACCGAGGGAAACACATCAACTACAAGAGGAAAACAACGGAATAACAGAAACACTGAACTACAACAAAAAACAAACGCCAACATACGTAGAAACGGACTACTTGACAACAACTGCCATATTCCTGACTTGGTACAGGACATTTTAAGAAAAAATGGGTGGGTTGAACCTGGTTTTATGGCTAGCCAAAACTTATTAAATTATATTATGACTAATTAAAATAAAGAAGGATATTGAATAGACGAAAGATATGTATTGTAAAAACGTAAGATATCTGAACTTCGTGATATTCGTAATTGTTTGTAAAATAAGAAGATGTGGTATGATTGCCAATGAGACAACTCTCCACCAGAGACCAAATGACGTAGAATTAATCATTATAAGTCACCGTACGGCCATCAAGAATGAGCAAACCCATACCGTATAGAAGTTATATGTCTTTGTTTTCAAACCCTTTTAGTTTGAAAGTTTAGTGTATTTGTGGCAAGCGTTGTCTGGTGCCAATACTTTCCTGTCATCTTTTTATTTTATTAATTAATAGTGAGCAACAAATCAGAATAAGTGTTCTTATAAGTTGTTTTAAATTATTTTAACAGAAGGAAGACGGATTGTTCTTGAAGATCCTTGTCAAGTTCAATGAATAAACTGGACTGTAAAACGTAAAAATGAAAGCTATTTTCTTGTGTATCATGTGATGTAGATTGTACTATTCAATATTTGATTATCAATGATAATCAATGTATATTCTTAGTTTAGTGGTTAATATATGAAATGTAACGTATATTTCAGAAGAGTTTAGTTATTCAATTTAATATTAATATTTTTCTGTTATTTCACATGCACTTAACATTGAATGTCATCCATATTGTATTGTTTTACATCTTCTTCTGCTACATGTATTATCTCGGATTCATTTACCGTAGTTTGGGGTACACCAATTTAGACTTTAATGATATTTTGTTTTTATTTGTAATTTTTCTATTTCAAACAATTAAAGTATATGCATGAACTACATACAAAATAATACATGTAAGATATACACTATCATTATTATAAATACTTTATCGTTGGAAATAGTAGACATTTTCTATAGAACAGATCAAAAGAAAAAAGTAAAAAAAAAATATAAAAATAAATAGATAAATAAATAGTGATAAGTAACAGATAGTATAGATGTGGAAAATGAAGAAGAATGAAAAGAAAGAATTAAAAAAAAAGAAACAGAATTATCCAGTTACATCCCTATCAATATTACTTTTCTCTTTTCTAACAGCCAGCAACACAGGTCAAGAACATTTCATGAAAATTATATATTCTTTACAATAAATTATTGGTTGATAGTCATTAGCATGTATTAACTTAAAGGATTTTAATAACTTTCCACATATTGTCAAATTCAGTTATTTATTTAATTTTTTACAGCTATATTACTCTCTAATTTGTACATATCTTTCTTTTTATGTTGATTGCTTGCAGTGAGAGATTCTTTTAAAAGCATCTAGAATTATACATATATTGTTTAATATAATTAAAAATCATGTTGTTTACGGTTGTTAGGGAATATTTTGGAGAAAGCTCCAAAACGAAAGTTTAATTTATGCATTGGGAGACTTATTCCACCGGAAAGAAACCAGTTATCAATATCTTGTAGAAAATTTGGTACAGCAATTCCGAAAGAGATGTTCTATAGACCCGTTTTCTGTTTTACAAAATGTACATAAAGGATTATACATAAGTTTTATTGTAACTAGATTTGCTGCAATGATGCAGTGGTTAATCCTGTACGGCAACCACTGTAATTTACTATTTTTAGTAACAGCAATTGACAGTCTGAAAATATTTTTTCCAGTTCAGATTCTGTTCGCCTAAAAGTTTAACCCGTTTTAACTCTCCAGTAGGAATAACATTATTTCTAGTCAGTGCAGAATACATATCTTTAGTGATATTGCTAGCTGACTAATTGAATGATTTGATTGCTCTTTGGTATCTTCTTACCATTTCCATAGATCTAAATAAGAAACCAAGTTCATCTTATGGCAATCCGATATCGTGTTTGATGTTTAATTAATTTTCTTTGAAGTAAACTTATTGTTTTTTTGTTACTTGCATATCATATAGTAAGTTTTATTTTTGCATATTCCATGTTGATAAATGGTTTGATATTTACATTATTAATAATAAAACCAGTGTCAACTTATTTTATGTTCCTTAAAGAGTTGAGTTAGTTACTAAAAGAATTATGTTTTCATAATATATGAGCTATATGTACCTATAAAGTGTACAGAAATAAACTTATCATAGATAACAAGCTTAATTCTTTAAATGCCAGACGGACGTTTCGTCTAAAAAAGACGGATCAGTGACGCTCAAATTAAAGTTGAAAAAGCTATAAAAAGAAAGAAGAAAGAGCATTGAGGACCTACAATTCCGAAAGTTTTTTTTGGCAAATACAGCTGAGGCAATGTATTCCATTGGTAGAAAATCTTTAGTATTTCGAAAAGATCAAAGTTTCGCAAACAGTTAATTTATAATTATAACCATATCAATGATAATTCATGTCAACACAGAAGTGCCAAATAGTTGCCTGGTGATAACATCCGGGAGGAAATTAATTTAGGAGTATAACTTAACTTCTAGACCAGCGTATATAGATTTACTTCAGAACAGCGTGTATATCATTGAGTTGTACTGAAGAAGAGCGAGTAGAGTTGTGTTTCTGAACAGTGTATACAGTTGGACATTAGAATAGAGTGCATAGTTGGTTTATTGAAAAGAGTGCAAAGTTGTACTTCAGAACAGCGTCTAAAGTTGGACTTTAAAACAGAGTGTACAGTTGGACTATAGAACTGAAGTGCTTCAGACCAACGTGAATAGTTGTAATGGGAAAAATATGTCTGGTTGTACCTTAAACTTACCTGTAGCGTATGGATTTCATTAGATAAACCCATCTGGTCGTACTTAGAAAAATAACTCATCAAAGATACCAGGCTTATAATTTTTCTACAACAAAACACTCATCAGTGACGCTCGAAGTAAAAGAGTTAAAGGGCCATAATGTCTTGTTTTTAGAGCATCAAGTCTCGTTGCACTTCAGAACATTTCGCCTTGGTGAACTAACAGCATATATGATTGACCATCGGAACAACTTTTCTATGTATCAACATTCTTTCAGTGCCTGCAAATGGAATATATATATCCAGTTGATACGATATTCCAGAGCTTGCGTTTCCTATCATGATGTCTTTGATAGAGTGTTGCTGCTTACAACGAAGCTATTAAATCAAGAGTTCCAATTGGTGAACTTGAAATCATTCCCTTAAAAATGTTACGAACGCCATCAGGAGTTGGTTGGTTGTTATAAGATATCTGTTTTACAGATGACGCTGGATATATTCTTATTTTCATAACCACAATCCCGTCCTCCTTTTCCCTAAATGTGACCAACTGACGTCTGATTTTCGTGTGAAGCAGGATCTGCTTACCCTTCCGGAGCACCTGAGATCAACCACGACTTATGAGTTTGAATGTTCCTTTGGTATCTTTCGCCTCTCTTTTAAGATCAGCACTGACGTAAATCCTTTAAAACACCGTGTTGAGGTTTTGATAAGTGACACTGATTATACTTTAGAACATATTATGTGGTTATGCTTTTAAAAAACAACGTGTATAGTTTAATAGTAGAACAATGTGTTTAATTTTACTGTGTCTAGATCTTCAAAACAGCCTGTTCCACTTTATTTAAAACACCTTGGACAGTTGGACTGTAGAAAAGCGTGTCTAGTTGTAAAGGAAAAGCATACAATGCTTTTGTTTTTAGAAAATGCGTCTTGTTGATCTTAGGCAACCATGTCTTGTACTTTAGAGTATATAGGGTGATCATACTTTAGACCAGCATGTTTATTTTCTACGTAAGAACAATGTAACAGATAGCACGTGTGGTTAGAAACTGTTTCAGTGTTTGGTTTCGCTGTTCTACGCTGCAGTTACAATGCTTTGCCATATATGACCTAGTTCTAATGATAATATAAATTAGGCAAAAGTTGTTAACCGATGTTTAAATCACATTAATAGATAAAGAAATCAAGGTAACAAACACAAATTGAGGGAATTGCGTGAACTTCAAAAGGAGCGTGACCGGTTTCGTATGGGTAAGCGTCTCCTGATATGGATGGATTTACCGCCATGAAAATCCACAGTTTGTCAAAATGTTATAAAATAGGGAATACGACAATATTGGTATAAATACAGATCAGACCAATTTTATGTATTCCATTATTTAAAACGACAAGTATACAGCTAGCGAGCTGAGACAGACATATCACGAGGGTAAAGTATTAATTGTGATGTGTAATTGCCAAACTAACGGGCAGAGGACATGTTACGGCTGTGAAATTAGAAGTTGACGCTTGGTTAGCTGAATTAATTACGTTTGCCAGCATACAGCCATAAAGTCAGATATTGGACTTTAATCAACCCTTTAGAAATGTACATTGCCATTGTAAGCACTCCTGTGTCAATATTTATTTTCAAGGATTGATAAAATTTGAATTATTATTTGTGGGGAGTCATGGCCAAAGTTGTGTTTGCTCTCACACATACAGTTTTCATCCCGGTTTAAAGGTGATGTCAAAAGTGTACAACAATAATTTGTAGAACGAACATCAGATTTGATAGATATTTTTCAGAATTACATGTCCTTTTAAATGCAATGACTAAATGAATCAACAAATTAAGCATTCAAACACCTTCAATTTCCAAATTCATCGAAACAAGTGATTTGAATGCTTTAGATCAGCGATTTTTCGAACGATTTGAAAAATAAGAGGTGATGAAATAGGTAAATATTATTGCACGTTAACATGATTTGAAATTTTCTTGCACCCATATTTGTCAATGGACTTTAAATTATTTATACCAAAGGTTAACATCAGTAATATGGCAGAAATGTTAAAAAAATTATGGAGGTTAATTATGTTTACGGAAGCTATATCTTTGAAAATATATTATATAGAAAATTTCAGTAAGTAAGCAGAGAAAATTGACTTCTCTGTAACAATTGTTTTTTTGCAAAGTTGCTGCCGTCACAATTTATACATCTTCTGAGTACAATGTCCATTACTTTGACGCAAATTTGAAAATGTTCCCTTCATTGCCCTTGCTCATTCTATTTTTTCGTCATAATAAATAAAAATAGGAAAAGTATTAACGAGAGCATTTAGTCCTTAAGATGTAAGTAACTATCAAATAGCTTTATTTAACATTGACATATGTTCGCTTTGGATTACCAATCGATCTATGATACGTTTCATTTTACATAATCCATTAAATGCTTGATATACAATATCAATGTAGGTGGTGTGAAACACGAACAATGAATCAATCTGTATCATGTGCGACTCCAATTATAAATAATGATAAGTAGTACGTTGGAAGTATACTAATTGAATACGGTAGAAGTGTTTTATGTCTATACTTTATTACAAATGTTACGCATAGCAAGTTTTTATAAATTATAAACAAAATATTGACAAACAATCTGTAAAATCATTTGAATAATTTGTCGTTCCAACGTATAACGTTGAATAATTTAAATACCTTCATCAATTCGAATCGGTATTATATACTTATATCCGCTTGTCAATTCATACATTTGAATTTTGGATCTATGCCATTTAACTTCCTTTAGAAATTCCAAATAATCATTAGATGTTCCACGAAAAGTATCCCTAGTTTCGTTTTTATCAAACGTAGACGTTCGGTAAGTCATTTTTTTAGGTTATTTCTGTAACTCTTTTCCTACTTGTTATATTTTGTTCCAATTGCCATCTCCTTGATTTTAAGACTACAATATAAAAAGTGAAAATCATCATTTATTTCTAAATTTCTGCGTTCATATATATGTTATTAGATGCCTATTTAAATTTGATAACTTCTTTAAAATACAATATGTAAAAAGTCATAACAGCGGGAACTCTTTAGTCTGATTATCCTTGACATTATTATGCTCATGCAGGTATATATCTCATTATATCTCTATCATACTAGTATACTGTTTGTGATAGGTGCAAACATTGCATTTACAAATGTTTTATATAAGTGGCAGTTTATTCTCCAGAGGGTAATTGTTGTTTGGAAGAGCCTGTGTTCTATCTACATATTGGTGTTGTGTTTTGCAGTTTTTTCTTTTATTTTTTCTCCTTCTGTAAACTGTGTTGTCTGTATTTCTCCTTCTTACATTATTGCCGCCTTGATATCTACATTTTTATAAATCTGGATTATGTTCACATATACAAATTCATAATTTTGCTGACATGCTGACATGCTAAAGATAATGGATTCAACACCGGTTAAATGCAAATATGTGTCCACAAGTATTGCGTCTTGACCAAGTGAACATTGAATGCCCTGTCACATATTATTTTTAAGTGTTTATATGTCATAAAAGAAACACTAGGTAATAATTCATTTTTGTTGCTTCTTTGTCCATCGAAAAGCTATGTTAGTAATGTTGAAAAAGAAAATGAAGCGTTTCCTTTATCCCAAAGATTCAATTATTGGATACATAAGTTTAACGTTTCTTTCTTGCCATAAAGTAAATATACAATATATGTACATTGTCGGAAAATATAAATTTATTTGTATGAGCTTTAGAAACAGAACAAAAAGCGAGGCTCGCCGAGCTTTTCTCCTGTTTCGCAGCGAGTACAAATAAATTTTATATTTTCCGACAATGTACATATATCGTTTTTATCACCCAACACTTGCAACTTAAGTTGTTTAAATCTAAATCATTGTCTCTAACTTTTCAAAGAAATCGACATATTTTAAACGCGGACCGCGAAGAGGACCCCAAAATGAACTGGTACGCAAAAAGAAATATCCACATTACCGCTTGCTCAACATGGGAGAGGGGTAACAGGAGACTTTATTTGTACAAGTACAAATAAAAGACTTTATTTGTACAAGTACAAATAAAGCAAAATTTATTTGTGTACCTGTTATTTGTACAATAGTTGGCTGATTGCAGGATAAATTATATTAAACTTGTATCATTCTGTAAACACTGTGTTGATTAAAATGCGTTGTTTTGAATATAAATTCAAAAGACATTTATACAAATGTGAAAAAATAGCTAATATATTTTATCAGTGTCGTATGTAGTTAGTATGAATTAAACAAACACATTCAATTTGTTTTCTACCCAAAGAAAATCGTGTATTATCTATATGGTGATCATTTCATTTGACATTTTAATCAATCTATATGGCCTTTCAAAATAGATATCAGATAAAAAGTATATTGTTAAAT